CCGGTGCCAGCTTACTACTAGTACGAATCAACGAAAGGGATTTGTTTTCTTACTAGCAAGATGGTATCAACGAATTGAATCTGAAAGTTTACCACCAGACCAACCTCACCAGCTTAACAAGTGCTCTGGAACAATTTTTTCTGCATGTCCTTGGACTGCTCCTCACATCTTTCCCAGGGAATATTCGCTTAAACTACTGTCTGGAGGAATAATCATGCGATTTTATTGCTTCTTTCAAAATCTTAGAAATTATAATAACATTTATGCTCCCTCATGATAGATTTGCTAAAAGCACCTCAAGATGTTTCCTGTTGATTTTTGCTTCCTCACGAGTTTTGGTAACTTCAAAAATCTGTTTCGCCCAGTTTCGAATTATCACTTCCAGATCGACCAAGTCTTTCGCTCCAGGTGTTTCAGTCATTGAATTAGTATACGGCGCTGATAATCTGTCCAATTTGCGCTCATCGCCTGAAAAGTGAGATTTTCAAATTTGAGAGTTATTCCCCACACAGTAAAAAAGCTAAAAATTCTGCTGCGAAGTTTAAGCACATAAATTAAATTGTTAAAATTCAGTAATTCAGGAAACTCGGTTATGCACTTTAGTAAATGTGCAAGTTTGCTTAGCATGAAAGCTTCACACTTTGTTAAGTGGGAAAATATTGATTGGAAGTAATGGTTTACAAACTGCAATAACCTTCGAATGGAAAATTCACTAAAATCCTTACCAGCATGTTCTGGCGGTTGATCAAGAATGTCTCTGCTTATCATGGAGGGCGAGTAGAGAGGAGATTTGGGGAATAATATTCAAAGAGTTTCTGTAAAATTCTGGATGTGATCATTTATCCGGCAGGAAAATATGGTCTTGGCTACGGCAGAACGTATAAGGGAGCCAGTTGTGAGAAGAAAAACGCTGAAACTGCTTGCAATGGTTAAGACTGGCCAGGTCGTAGAAGAAATGGTCAATTCGTTTTTCCAACAAAATATGCCAAATTCGCACAAACTGGAGGTGCGCAACCCAGGACCAGACTGGCATAGCTGTGCTCGGCGTGTAAGAGCATCTTAGTAACATGTCTGAGAGGGAAATCCTACACTGATAGTCCAAGCGGTCTTGCTCTTGGGATTCTTGGCATGCAAAATTTTTTATTTCGGTCAAAACTGAACAAAAAATTTTATCATAGTGAAAAAATTTTTATTATCAGTGTCGATAGTTATGTCATAATTTTTATCGTTTTTACTATCAAATGGAATCATGAATGATAAAGGAACTGCTCGCAGATTGTTCTCCTTCCTTCTTTTCCGAGGGTGGTCAACCGCACACAGCTGTGCAATTTGTTCAGAGATGCAAATGAGCTCAGGCTGAGACATACAAATGAAGACACTGGATTAACGGAAGAATCGCTATTCACTGCTTCAAGTAATCGTCAAACCTGCAGTTCTCAACGACGTCCATCTTCTGGGCCTTTTATGGCTGAGTCACTGCACCGAAAACTTGTTACAGTTTTCCGGTCCTTGTAACGGAGTGCGGAGTCATCCATAGGCAAATATTGTGTGCTGAGCAAGCCCATAATAGACTTGAATAGAACGGTAAACATTCGCGCGCCTACTCCTGCCACACACCAAAACCATCATCACCTTTACACGAATCTAATTTCAAGTACCAATGAATAGTCGCCCCTTCGATATAAATTTGATGAAATTATGCTCAAAACGACATGCCCCATCATCGCCAAAACGAAAACATTAGGGACAAAAAGCGTCAACTTCTCAGAAATATAATTTGGCGTGACGTTTGTTGTCGTCTTTAAAGTAAAATCAGTTTTCATATTCTCTGATTTCATAACTTCCTACAACTGTTATTTCTCTTTTCATTTTTCCTCGTGCTCCAGGGTCAAAAGTTATCCCAAAAAATTGTGGCACACGTACGCATATACACACTTGAAAATTAATACAGTTTGGTTTATTATGTACATATCAACACTGCAGCCGCCATACTGTCGAGGCTCACTTGTGCTCCTGAATAAGAATGTATACGACCGAAATATTCTTGTCCTAATGACTATTTTTTAGCATATTTTTGTATTTTACGTCTACTAACCTTAATGTTTTTTAAAAATTCAATTAAAACTCATTATGTGCACTCGTAAGCGAACCTAATGAATTCTCAACTTGCTTTCCAGCAATTTTAAAACAGCACATCGATTGCGTAATTAAGGCTGCATTCCATGTACTTCTCTCGAAAAGCCAATAAATTTCTGAGGAACCCTTTATCAGACAACTAAAGGGTTCCTTCACAGCACCGGGTGTCGCAGCATTCTTACGTAATGGATTTGTAGTGAAAGGGATAACCAGTCACAAAGGACTACAAGGAACTCTGATGAGTGCATTGATGTGGACCTACTGATTTAATGGAAACATAAAGTTCGGAAAAT